AACTGTGAGCCCAGGCTGTAGGATGATACTACCCAGAAGGTGTGTCATCGAAACCTGTGCTCACAGGAAGTGATTGAGTGACCCTGCGTGTAATTAAACCTGGAAATGAGGTGGCAATAAGCATATGAGGAGGGTGATAGGGTATATTATTATTTATTTATTTATTTCACACAGGTGGGGAAAAAAGTGTTTTCATTCAAAAAATGGAGTTGGTCTTTGAGCCAACTCCATGCAGAGATACTGCTGTGTATGCAGCCATTGTGGAAGGTAAGGAGGGGGAAAAATTAGAGCGCAAATCCTAGGAATGTGAGGGGTAAAGGGACAACCAGTGTCTGTATATGGCGGGTGGAAAAACAAAGATTAATAAAAATTAATAAAATCACAAAAGGTGAAGGACTTACTTGTGGAGCCGAATTCCTGTCCTCTCCCAGCCCTCGGTCCCTTTCACTCCGTCACGTCCTAAGAACACTGCCATCAAGACCACAGGCAGCTTCTTCACCAGTCCCCGGGCACATACAGCATTCAGTCCACATTGATTCCTCCTTCATCCATCCCTCCACTTGCTGGGAGACACTGAGTACATCTTGCACTGCCCACACTCCAAAAGAGCCCTCCTCGACAGGACTTCGGCTCCACAAGTAAGTCCTTCACCTTTTGTGATTTTATTAATTTTTATTAATCTTTGTTTTTCCACCCGCCATATACAGACACTGGTTGTCCCTTTACCCCTCACATTCCTAGGATTTGCGCTCTAATTTTTCCCCCTCCTTTTCTCAGTTCACAGGTTTCTCCCCCTGTTCTTAGAGCAGCAATCCAGATTAGTTGCACCCACATAGACCCCACATTCCTAAGAGAGCGCTGTGTTCTTTTTCTGTTTGTTTATTGTGGAAGGTAACACAATGTAAGTTCATTGAAAATGAAAAGACCACATTGTCAAGCTGGAAGTATTTTTTAATTTACAAGTTCCCATGGCTAGTAGCCCTAAATAATCCTAAGTGACTGTACTACTTATAAAACATTAAAGTATATTTAACATATTTCATACATACACAAGATGCAGACATGCTTACAAATCCAATAAATATTGTAATGAATATGACATAATATAGTTTTACACGCACTTTAAAACTTTCATGGCACGGTTTTCCTTAAGGCTATCCGCTATTGAGATGGCATCGCTATCCTCAAGTTTGTTTTCATCAAGCCTGCAGAAGACAGTAAGCAGTGGTTACAATATAGCTTCTCAACTTTTGCCACACTGCCATTAACAATTAGTTTCTATGCTTACTTCAATAAATATCATAAGTAATATTAGTATTTATAGATATAAGCTTTGATTTAGAAAAGCTTTGAATGCACTTTATAATGCAAAACAGGACATCACTATCATGTAACAATGGCATGCAACATGTTATGGAAAATGGATCACAGAATAATATGGAGCTGCCTTTTTGTCATCAGCGTACAACAAATGTAAAAAGACTGTCATATGCTGTGTATATTCATTTTAACATTACCAAACTCACTTAAAGCGGATAGCCAAACACCAGGCAAACAAGTGAAATACATATAAGGGAGATGCTTTATCTGCCAAAAGAATTGTATTTCTGACCATGCAGTCTTGTCATAAAACACAGCCAGGTGAATGACACCAATTACAGTTATGAGTACGTTAGTGCCCTCTCTACACCCCCAGCCTGCTAACTGGATAGTGAAAGAGCAGCAGCAGACTTAGGTAGTTTACGCTGCTCTCTCAAACCAAAACTTTTGGCCCCTGACAGAGTTTTGTTTTTAAGAACCAAACAGAGAGAAGGCTGGATTATTTGAATAAACTGGTGAATGGATGTTGATTCTGAAGACAAGACATATAACATAATGCCACAGTGCCCGGGGCAGCGTGGTTAGAGGGAGCAGCACCAAGCCTCAAAATCCACAAATTGTGATAATTTGTGTCCTCCTCTGGACAAGTTGTGGCTAATAAATTCATGATAATGTTTGTCCCTATATATTTATCAATCACAAATTGTTTTCCCCTTATCTTTAGAAATACAATCATCGCATGCAAGGTTACTTGTTAAATATTGAAAGTCAGTTTAGGATCAGTAAAACAAGAAAATACTCTGTAAAAAAGATGATTGTAGCACAGGGGTGTTGATGTAGACAGGAAAGGAAGTGTGCATACAGATTTCAGTGATGCCCACATTTGCTGATCATCCTCTGTTCTCCTGCTGACACCTACCATGGGGCACCCTGCTGCTGCTGACAAATGCCTTATATTGGTGGCAGAAAAAGGGTTAAACCCAGCCTAGCCAATCTGAAAATGTTCATAAAATGAGCAATCTGTCCATTGTCGTCACTGAACTGTTAAGCCAGCAAATCTCTGTGTATAATAATCTGTTGCGTCATCTAAAAGAAAAATGTAATCTGGTGTGCTGGCTCTATACATCGGTGTACCTCATTGTACCTCTGTATAAACAGGTGTAGCTTTGATAATTATGTATTACATTACCAACTATATTTTCTGTGATTCTCTGCATAAAAGTTGTATCATCATGTCATCCATCATGCTTTAATGAAGTGAAGCTCGTAGAGTAGGATTGGTTCATCTAGATGTATGAGGATAGGGTTAACTGCTGTATGCTGGTGAATGCACCCCATCATTTCAATTCCACCCCACATCACCTCCTAGAAAAGAAGCTGCTATCATAACACTGGACTCCACTAAGGGCACACAAAGTCAAGTGGATCCCCTTCATGTCTGCATTTTGTACATTAACATTCCCTTCCGTGATACCCGATGCAGAGGGACTGGTAATCTATGTTCTATTAGGTAGACTTAGCAATGCTAATTGAAGAACTGTGCAGAGGGTGTCTCTCTGTGAGACCAATACACCTGTTTTTGCATTTGTGTAAATGAGCCCTGCAGAGGGGAGGATACAGCAGAATCAACAGGAATTTACTAACTATTTTCCCAGTACAGTAATACCCTTACATATGAACCTTTAAGTTGTAAGCTTTCAGTGATGAAAAACGTGCCTTTGTATGTCCAATCACGTAAGTTAGTTCACGTGTCTTGCGTACTTTGTCACGTGCATACGCCCTCTACAAGTGGCTGTGCTTTTGTGGACTTTACTGTACAGTACTGTAAAGAGTACAGTAGTACAGTATCTAGCCCAGGATGTCCAGAAGCAAGGGTAAAAGCATCGGTGATGTAGCTTGTACTTGTTGGAACCGATAAAATTTACATCTATGATACAGCTTTGATGCAAAGGTTCCTTGATATCTTGAATGGAATCAGCATGTGGCTGTCTGATATGCAAATGAGGACCATCAAAGGGTTCTTGGGGCTGCACACTGATGAATGAAGATCTGCCAGGACTGTCATGTCCTGGGGCAAGCCTGACCCCCTGCTGGTATTTACTGCCCACACCTGTGTCAGCAAGGAAGCATATATGCTGGGATGGGGGCAGGGGCATATGATGGAACCTTCTTCCTGGGTGAACATCTACACTAACCTAGCTCACCAGCAAGAACAATGGTAACCTTGGTGACCTTTGGACAAAACAAGTCTTTCTGAACTCTACAATCAAGAATGTGATTCGCTGAGACCTGCTGGAGAGGCGTGTTCTGAGAACAGAGAAAAACCCATGGCATGTGTGACTGAGAGTGAGAGAATGGTGTAGCTAGCTCAAGGATCCTGACCCCCTCCAATCCCCTCTCCAATTCCCTTAATTGTAATTAGAATGTATGTATATTCCTATTGGCAAAATAAACCCAACACTTATTTAAGATTCAGTTGTTCATCTGTAATTTAAGGCACCCCCAAATCAGAGCACATTCTACAGTACTGATACTGTTAAGAAGTGCCAAGTGATAACGATGGAAACAAATGTAGAAATAATTGAAAGAGTGGAGTGAGGCAAAAAGATGGTAGACATCACTTGTTCTTATAACATGAATCGTTCAACCATCCGTACGATGCTAAAGATCAAGGACAAGATCATGGAACATGTGAAGTCTGCTGTGCCGATGATATCTTCAATTCTATCGAACAAGTGGGAAGAGTGATGATGGAGATGGAGAAACTTCTCAGTGTGTACATACAGGATCAGAATCAGCTTCGAGTCCTCTAATGCAGATTTAAGAGAAAGCTAAAAGCCTTTATGAAGACTTGAAGAAGAAACACAGCAAAAATCAGGGGGTGCACCTGTAGTGCCAGCCACGGCTGGTTTCATCCGGTCAAGGCTAGAGCCAACCTTCACAACGTAAAAGTAAGTAGTGAGGCAGTAAGTGCAGATATGGTAGCTGCCCGGGAATTTCCTGAAACGCTTCAAGAACCTATTGATGAAGGCATGTATCTACCCGAGCAGGTCTTTACTGTGGATGAGACAGGACAGTACTGGAAGAGGATGCCACACCAAAGTTACATCGGTAAGGAGAAAAATTTGATGCCATGCTATAAAGCAGCAAAGGATAGGCTAACTCTGTTGTTTGGTGGCAATGCTTCCGGCGATATGAAGCTGAAGCCTCTCTTAGTTCATTCAGAGAACCCAAGAGCCCTTAAAAACATAGCCAAGGGTTCTCTTCCGGTTGTGTGGAAGAGTAACCCCAAATCCTGGGTTACAAAGGCCATTTTCCAGGACTGGTGTATAATATTAATGCTATTCTAGGAGAAGGATGTCCCATTCGACATTCTTTTGCTGCTGGACAATGGCCACCCCCCATTCATGGACAACTTTCATCTCAACATCAAAGTAGTGCATCTCTCTCCAGGGAATTACAGCGACTCTCTAGAAATATTAATTACGTCACACTGTTCATCAGGCAGTAAAGGCAATTGATGAATCAGGAACAACCTTGCGACAATTTTGGAAGGACTATAACATCTACAAGGCTATAAAAAACATTGACTTAGCTTGGAGTGAGGTTACGGCCATCAACATGAATGGGGTTTGGAAGAAGCTTTGCCCACAGTTTGTTCACGACTATCATGGATTTGAGAAGGTGAATGAGGAGTCCAAAAAAGTATTTTGCAACTTAGTGACTCTCAGCGAGAAGCTGGAACTAGATCTGCAAGACGACAACTTCACTGAACTCCTTGCAGTACATCACGAGGAGCTTACTAATGAAGACCTGATAGAATTGGAGGCACAGAGAAAGCACAGAGAGAGTAAAGAGGAAGGAGAAGTAAATGAAAAACTGAAGAGATTCACAAAGCAGGAAATGGCAAGGGTATTTTCTTTATTTGAGGAGGCACTGCTAGTTTTTGAAGCACAGGACCCGAACGTAGAACGGTACCAGAAGTTTGCAGCAGCCATTCAGAATGCAATCCAGTGCTACTGCGTCATCTATGATGAGACAAAAAAGAGCTTCTACCCAGACATCACTGGGTATGAGTCAAATTGCAGCTTGCCCTCCCTCTCCTATTGTTGACTCTCCTTCAGCTTTGCCATTTCCCACCTCCTCTCCCTCCTTCAGTCAGTAACTCTTCTTGTGTGTTTACTCAATGCCAGCCCCTGTATACCATCTGTTGTACTGTACTACTGTACCTTTCAAGGTACTGTGAGATTAAAAATGTTTTCTTAATTTTTTTGTGTTTGCTTTTTATGTATTATTTGTGTGAAAAGTATTCTACATCTATCACAGTACAGTACATATGTACTATATAGCCACTTGTGTTAGTTGGGTATCTAGGCTAACTTTGTTGGACTTACGAACAAAGTGGTCTTACGAACAAGCTCTTGGACCAGAACTTGTTCGTATGTAAGGGACTTACTGTACACGTAAATACCTGAAATCTGACAGCTAATGTGACAGAGGAATGTAATAAAAGCTGTTTAAAGCATTGCATACACTTTCAGGTGACATCAATAAAATTAGAACACATACACCTACCAGAGTTCTTCTAGTACTGTGTTGTTCTTCAGCATGGTGGCCATTGCCTGCCCTCCAATACTTCCTATGTTGTTGCCAACCAAGCTACAATTTAAGCAAGCAAAGATGTTTAATACACTTTAAAAAAAGGTCTAACGATGGTTGGTCATTAACAAGACCAGACTCAACCATTGTGATTTTGGTTTTGATTGGCCAATTGGGAAACTACTAATGGTTAGATGTCTGGGCCAAGTGATCCATACAAAGAAAATGGGTACTGTAAAGCTGGCCATACACTTTATTTTTTTCACATTCAGCATTCCAACAGACTATTGTATTATGACAGTGGCTAGTGTGCCGCTGCCATAATACCAAATACCCAGTGTCTGCAAGTCTTTAGACTGCTGGAGCCCGGGGGAGAAGATGCTGCAGGGACTGGTCTAGCAGACGGGACCACGTATTTCTTCATTATTTTTGCCTCCTAGACAAAACAAGCATCTAACGCCTGCAGTGCGGGGGTAACTCTACTGCAAGGTTATTTTTTTTTTAAATCCTGGAGTCCTTCTTTAAAGATTTTGTGTATAGTGATACCCAAGGCTGAGTTGGAGGACCGTGTAAACACAAGAGATAACACACAGAACTTTCATACACACACACACACACACACACAGGTAGCTCTCATTTTGAAATTACAAAAACAAACAAACTCCTGTATCCTAAGGGAAAGGCAGTGGTGATACCTCCTACATTTAAAAAAATAAACTTAGGCTACCTCCGCACCGCAAGGCTTAAAAGAGAACTATGGGGTAACCTTTTAATCCCATAGTTCTCTTAAGGGTCATGTATACTAGCGTCTTCCTGTGACCCAAAGCTCAGCATATAGCGAGCTACAGCTTGCTATATACTGAGAGCGCCGCAGTCGGGACGGATCCCGACAATACTGTCGAGATCCACCCAGCTACGTGAGTGACAGCAGGCTCTGCTTAACTAGATGTAGAGCCAGTTGTACCAGCCCCCTCCCCGTCTGTTCCTCCAGTCAGCGCTGGAGGATCAGAGAGGGGAGGGGGGAATCCCTGCGGGAAGCGGTGACTGACAGTCACCACTTTCTGCAGGGAGATGATCGGAAAGTGAGCGAGCGACGGTATGCGTTCGCTCACTTCCCGGTCTATAGAGCCGAAGTGTGACAGTTTCATTGTCACACGTCGGCTCGAACTATGAGGTTGTGTGAAAATCACTCACCTCATAGTTCTCCTTTAACTGCTCGTTTGTGTCTAGGTGCTAAAAAGGTTATACCCACCCGAACTGCAAACTGCCTAGCCGATTACCTGCTTCTCTGGTCACTGAAGCGTGTCTCCTCTTCTGCACTATTGCAATTTTCCTCAGAGTGCTCACGTCTATTCACTTTTATACCGTGTGATGAGACCAGGATTCTTAGACCATGGCAGCAAAAGGGGGAGAGAGGCTCTAGGGACCAGTCTAAGAACAAGCCAGCTTAAATGATATGGTGAGTATACTTTTTTTTTGAGCACCTAGAAACAAAGGAGCAGTTAACCCTTGCAGCGTGGGGTAGCCCTACTGCAAGGGTTAATAAAAAAGTTTCCTTTAAAATTGATTGAATTAATAAGGTAAAATATACTCATTTTAATACAAAAATCATAACATAGGTCTTGTTTCTTACCTGGCCCATACCATGGTTTTGCTGTTTTCTAATGCTTCTGCAATAGCTTTTGCTCCAGCATCGCCCACTCGATTTCCCCAGAGTCTGAAGTGAGACAATTAAGCATCAACAAGTTACGCGGTCACTCTTATAACGGATCCAGACTTGGAAATGTTTTCTCTCACTTACCCCAGGAATTGTAGTGACTGATTTTCCCTTAGTCCTTCTGCTAATATTTGCCCACCAACCTCAGTTATACAGTTGTTCCCCAATCTAAGAGAAAAAAAAGAATAAATTAGCTCATGTTCCACTTTACCATTTGAGCACAAGTCGACTAAAATGTGTTCCTGATCAATTTTTTTGTAAATGTCTTACTGTAGTAAGCACACAATAGATAAAGGAAATAAAAATTGTAAAAAAAAAAAAGGGAAGGGTAATCTCCAACAAAACAATGTATGGTTGTAACAGAAGTTCCTATGCAGGCTGTATTTGAATGCAGACCACCCTAGGTAATTCCCATGTGTGCTCATAAGCCTCCATGATTGAATAAAGTGAAATCTAATGACTGGAAGGGGTGGACAAGGGACATTAATTCTAGAGAGAAAAGAGCTAAATGGTGCTGGACTTCTTTCAGCCTGGAAATGAGGCAGGCTATATCTGACTTGATACAGCTTCTGATGCACATTGTGAGAACTAACAGTGTGCCGTGAAGTGAGAGTAAGCAATTTCAGTACAGGAAATGATCCTGTACATCTGTGCAAGACTGAAAGTAAGGCCAGAGTTCAGCTTTAAACATGCCATTTATTATTTATTACTTAAGAATAATTCATTTTTTTCTTGATAAAGTAGGAAAGAACATCTGCCAGGTTTTTAGTGCTGTCTGTATCCAAACTGAGGACATTTCCTCCTTCTTCCCGTTGTGTCAACCCAGACAGGAAGTGGTAGTAGTCTTTCTAGTGGGGGTAAAAGTAGCAATAAAAACACTTTTATTAGTGTAGTGCCATCTGCAGCCAGCATTTCTCTCATAGATAAAAGATATTCATATTACCTTAAGGATAAAAAATTCTGCTTCTTTTTCAAGAGATCTGCCATGGATTTCATAGAATTGTCAGTCAATCCATTGTTGAATAATCTAGAATGAATAAGCACAGCATCTGGTAAAGCAAACTTGTACAAAAACGTTAAAACTATTAAATATATTTTACTGCAGTCCATTTCTTGCTTAGCTGGCCATACAGTGTTTTCCCCATTCACACTATAGCATAGCAGTGACGCGTGTTCCTGCACGTTCGCGAGCGCTTGCTTCTCCAGTGTGCCTAAAAAGAACTCTAAGGTATATCGGAACATATATGATGGCAAATATTGTTAGTGTTGTGATATATACTTACGCAATCTTCTGGAAATTCGGCCAATCTACCGCATGCTCTATAAGGCTGCAGAGTCCCTTGTCAGTGATATTATTGTCTCTCAGACTAAAAACAAGAAATAAATGGTATTAGTTAACTTGTTTTACAAGACAACAAGTGTTTCTCAGTTTTGAGTGGATGTAGGTAGGTTCAAATAGCCAAGATGATTAGCTATTTAGCCATACACCAGTATAATTTAGAATTTTGTTGGAAAAAATGTGTTTTCAGAATGTTCTCATAAAATTATGTTGGGAAATTCCCAACCCCTATAGGCCTTCCTCCCACCTCACTCCCTACAGGGTGTCTTATCTTCTCTCATTGTGCTTTAGATGAAACACTGTGGTTATGTGGTCATACTATCTCTGCAGGAATTCTCATCATGTCTTATGGGAAATTAAATGAAGGGAAACTGACCTAACTAAATAGTTTGGCATGGAACAATATACACTGTGGTATTTCTAGAGTCTTAAAACCCTCATCAAATGAACATGAATGAATCTTAGCACCCATATATATTTGGAACTTGAATTTTTATTAAAGGTGATATTTCAGAGCAAATTTATCCCATTTGACAAGTAATTTACATCTGAATTCCATTTCCAGTGAAAGCCTCTGTATAGTTGCTACCAGTTTTAAGCGTTCTTCCTGTAAAGGGTTATTTATCCCCATCAGGTTTTGTGTCAGAGGGGTCTGTGAGATTTGAATAGTGGAGGCAGGGAGTGGCAATGCTAATTCAAACAGATCAAACTACAGCTCCCAAGAGGCTTTGCAATCCAGGGTAGGTATGGACTCAGTACCTTTGGGGAGCGCGGGCAGAACGTCTGAGACATGGGAGGTGACAGGACTTGCTAACGAGGACTGTGGATTTATCACCCCAGGGAGAAAGAAACCTGGTGGTAATCACCGCTGTAAGTACTGAGTGATGGCTGCAAATATGGCTGAGGGGACTGCCTGATCGTCTGGACAGCAAGTACTAATTCTGCTGCAGTGGGACCTCGCCCATTGTATACTTGTGAGACACCCCTGCTTCCACGAACGGACATTGGTGAGACTGTGTGACTGCACACAGACCACTCAAAATCCGAGAACAGCTGGCTGGAGAGGGGACACCCCTTTCGCTTGTCAGCAAGGGAGCTGCCATTCAAATCTATCCGTTGCAGAAGTGGTGAGAGGCTATCCAACATTTATGTGTTTTTAAAGTTAAATTATTTTTACAAACAAGACCTTTGGCCCCAACACTGGCTAACCTAGGTAAATACCACTGGCCTGTAGGTTAAAGATACGGGTTTATTCGGACTTCATCTTAACTGTTTGACATAATCCTAATAGTGAATAAAATCGGTCGCCTTCAAATCAGCAGTGCAGGAGAGATAATACTTTGGTAGGGGAGTGTGAAACACAAAGGAACAACCAGGAACTCTGATCGTGCGTAAATTAAACACAAACTTTTATTGACAATGAAAGTATAAAATGCACTCACATGGTGTAGGAAAAAAGCCGCATGTAGACAGATGGAACTGCCTGAAGCATTTTGATGCCAGGCCTCTTTCTCCAGCCACGAATTTTCCCATTGTGGCTCGTGAAAGAAGCATTGCCTCGAAATGCATTGCCATAGCAACCCCTACACTCGTGTGTGACCATAAATAGCCCCACGCCTGGAAGTCCTGAAGCGATTTGGCTGGTTGGATGCTTCCTCCACAGTTGAGCTCTTCTCCTTTAGTGTCAGCTCCTGGACTGTATACGCCCACTGTGGCTTCAAGCAGTTCCAAGCTTTTTTCCTACACCATGTGAGTGCACTTTATACTTACCTTGTTATTAAAAGTTTGCGTCTAATTTACAAACGATCAGAGGCCCTGTTCGTTTCTTTGTGTTTCACACTCCACAGGGACCAAGGTAATACCTCTCCTGCACTTCGAATTTAAGGGCGACACCAGAGCTATCAGAGAAGATTCAGGACTTTTGTTTTCACTGCAGATTTTATTCACTACAATGTGTGTGCATTTTTGCAATCGACTACATTTGTCCCATGAGATGATGTGCTAGGTGGTGCGTTTTGTTTGTTCTCTTTTTTCAGTTGTTGGCAGGCCTTCTCTTCCTGCTTTATCAAGCAGCACACCTGCAGCTGGACCTGTATACTACCCTCCCATTGTGCCTGTATATAGATATACATACCCACTTTGTACCAATTACTGCCCCAACCACACAGTGATACCGTTTTTGCAATCAACAATTTTCTGTAGCTGGCACAGGAACAAGCTTAATAGTATAACTAAAAGCATTGTCCTGATCATAAATGTCACTGGGAAAAAAATTTTTTAGTTGTCACCAGAAGAGGAAGAAGAAGGTGGAATCCTCAAATGGGGGCAGTTGTTTCTATGACGACTTTCTAAAATGGGGGTTTTCCTCAAATTGGAAAGATATCCTAAGATATCCTATGTAAAGGGAAATGAGACAGATGGCACTAAAAAACCATCCCCCACTTTATCCAAAATGAAAAAAAAAAAGTTTTGGCTTTAGATATACTTTAAGTTCTTATTAAAAAATATATAGACACATAGACTTACTACAGAGCATGGCAGACATGAAGGCAGGGAATCAACTGCTCAATTCCAGTGTCACCTACAGAATTGTAGTCCAATTGTATACCAACTGTGTTTTTTAAATGCTTTAGTACAAAAGCTAATGCTGTGCATTCAGAAGGACCAATGCCACAATAGGTCATTTTCAGATGGTCAACTGTAAGACCTTTTACCGCTCTTTCAGCCAAAACAATGTCTTGCATTTCGTAAATACACTTTATAAGCCAGACAAACTCAGGCATTGCATGCATGGCTTTCTTCTCATCCGGCAATGCTGGTGGTATTGACTTAAAGTGTTTCTGGATTGCTTTCGCCAAACATTTTTTAACAGTTTTACATTTCTTGGCCAGTTTTTCTGGTTGCCATGCATCAACCAACAATTTGTTCAGTACAGCAGAAAAGAGCCCAGCTACAAATGTTGCTGTAATTTGTACATTTCTAATCTCTATGTTCTGTAACATAATTTTATTTTGCTGTTGAAAAATAGGTTGTAAACATGATATAGAAAGTCTTTGAGCAAGTGAGTTTCTTAGTTGTCTTCTATTCCACTTAAATAATTGGTAAAGCATAAGGGGGTCCATATCCTCACTCATTACAATGTACAGAGCAGCAAAGAAGCATTGGAATGTGATATGGAGGAACTCGTAGTACTGTGAAGATGTTTTCCCTTCATCTGAAAAGTTCTTTGAGATAACAAGAAAACCTAAAGAGAGATCCTCTTCTGTCATTTCTGCTTTGGTGAGCTCTTGAGGAGAAAACACGTACAAACCTTCACAAAGACCACTGAGCGCTATCTTACCAAGATGTCTGACAGAATTAATTCTCTCTGAGAGAATATTTTGTCTTTCCATTAAACTTGATGAAGCATGTAGTAGAAAGTGTTTTAGAGTAAGCATATACATATCAGTCATAGTCTGTGGAGTTTTGTAGCTACAGTTAATAAGTTCCTTATGACACTTTGAAATGATCCAACAGAAGACTGGAATATGGCACAGCCCATTAAGGGACAAGCTGTTTTTTACCAAGCTGATGATACCTCTGGATATGTCTGGGTTGTCATGATGTTTCCTTATAAAAGCTTCAATCCCTTCTTCTGAAAATCCCCTTAAGTTAATTTCTTTCTTGATGTATCTCCGTAACGCCACAGTGACAGCATCCGGTCTGCTTGTAATGACTTTTATGCAGTCCTTCATTAGATTTCCTTCAATAAGGTTAAAAACAATGCTTTCAATGCTGGTAGGTACTGAGGGAGAGCAGTTCTTATTATCCTCTGTGAAAGAAAACTTCAACTCATCAAATCCATCAAACATTATGAGGACTTGACTAGGATGGTCTATGATGAATTGAAATATCTCTTCTTGATCTCGGTCAGGCCAGCAGCATTGTTCAAAAAGAAGAGTTTTTAGACAAATTGGTTTTGCAATACAACATAACCTTCTACAACTAAAGGGGAAGATGAAGCAAAACTTTTGGAATGCTTGTCCACATGCCCAGAGATGTTGAATGTGTTGAAGCAATGTGCTTTTGCCAGTGCCTGCATCCCCAAGTATGATGATGGTGTCAGCATTTTCATTAATAACTCCCTGATCACTGAAAATGTGATAAAGGTCCGTGGAGCTCTGAGCACCATGGCCATGATCTAACATGTGCTTAGATTTTGATAGCTCCAAAACGCTCTCTGTATAGACATCCTCCAGACACAAGTTTTCTGTCCCATCGTAGGTGCTAAGGAACCTTGTTTGGGCACATATGGTGTTCTTCAATTTCTTGTGAAATGCCAGACAAACTAAAAGAGAAATAAACAAATAAAATGAACAAGTTTGCACCACTTTCCTTTAAATCATATTTTATTTTTTTTATTTTCAAAAAGATTTTTATTGAGTTTTTTACATTTTCAAAAGGAATGTGACATTGGTACATAAATGTCTAATAGTAGTACAGAGTAACATGTGACATCATGTAAAGTCATTTTTTAATTGTATTTGCAAGTAGCACTTGCTAGTAGTAGTTAGTTACATTCAACTGTCACACTATTTCTCTAAGACGCTAAACGTTGACTTTAAATTGGCTGCTGCACACCACTGTTCTCAGTCCTTAGATGCAGTGGCAGCATTCTTTTTGTGTTTACAGGCTATTTTACTTTATCTTTAGCTGTTGATTGTACCAGTAACACACCCCCTATCTTAGGCTGGGTCCACACCTAGGCGTATCGAATATGTGCGTGTGTCGCACGTTTTTACAGCGATTCGCGGTTAAAAAAACCAAGGGCTACCTGGCTGTATCCCAATGGACAAAAACGCCCCAAAGAAGCTCCTGTACTTCTTTGGGAGTAGGGCGTTTTGTAGCGCGTTCATATGGCCTCTAATATGCCCAGGTGTGAACCATACCCATAGGAAATAATGGGATTTCGGTGTTTGACCGTTTTGCAAAGCGTAGGAACGCGCTACAAAACGCCCAGGTGTGAACCGGGCCTTAGGATGGCTATACCAACTCCTCCACTGTGGAGGAGCAATGGAGCCACCCTGGGATAGCATCATTGTCATTCTGTGGATAGGGTATTGTTGATAGACTGGCAGATTTAGATGGACTTTAGTTAAAATCCAAGTGACGTTTTTATGAACTTATTTTTTCTGTTCTGTGTACTGAGCCGCACATGCGCAGCTTAGTGCACAGTCTCAGCAAGGTGCTGTGCAAAAATTAATTAACCCCCTGCGCATGTGTGGGAGTTACATCATGCTAGCCCGGCCAATCAAGAAGTTGAAGACACTGAGATGGTTATTCACTATTGAGCCGAAGGATCTAGCTGTAGCTTCAGCGGATCCTTCGAGTTGCTACGGCCGCCAGAGCCCTTCGGTTCACAATAGCCCGTACAGCAGCCAAGTGGCTCAGCCGAGCCGGACGCATATATAGCCTAGCCGAACGGCTGAGCCGTGGTGACAGCCGAAAACAGGGAGAAAGGTGGGCCGAAGCTGACCATTCTCCCCGCACAAGACAACAGCTGGGCGGAGCCAGTCGTAATGTCATGGTTGGCTCCGCCAAGTTGTTGTCCATCAATGGCAGCCCAGTGTCCTCTAGGACATGACAACAGCTGGGTGGAGCCAGCCGTGATGTCACAGCTGGCTCTGCCAATGTGTTTTGTTTTGCTCGGGACCTGTGGGCAGACTGTCAGGTGATGTCACCGCTAGCTCCACCCAATTGTTTAAATGTTGCCGGCATCTGTCAGAATGCCAATCAGTGGCAGGAGCTTGTCTGGTGCTGACAGGTCGGCGAGTGTCGTGTTATTTTAAAATAATTTTGTATTTATTTATTCTTTTAATGTTTTTATTTTGTCGATTCGTCGTTGGTGTGGATAATGCTGGATGTCGTGATTGACCCTGGATTACGACAGTGGATACATTTTTGCTTTTGTTTTCGTTTTTTACAATAAAGGACTTGTCAAAAGCCTTTGTTGTGTTTTCTATTCAATTAAAGGATTTTTTCTAAAAGTCTGGCCTTTTTAAACAAATGTAATCTAACTATTTAGTGAATGGGTAGGGGTACAAGTACCCCTTACTCATTCACAAGGGGGGGCCTGCATCCGGGTGCCCCTTTATTAAAGGGGTTTCCTGATGTGAATAAGCCACTGTTGTGCATTATGCTAGCACATTATGCCGAAAAGTGTTAGACCACTTAACCTCTGCTTCAAGTGACTAACAAATAAAAAGCCTAAGTCCACTTTTTAAGCAATTATTAAACTTTTGGGATAAAAGTCTTACATAAATGAATAAAAGCTGGCCATTGTAAATCATCAAATGGTTTTGTCGCAACCCTCTATTTGCCCACCTTTGCTGGACGTCTTGGGCAGTTAAAGAAAGTTGAAAATTGGCAGACTAGCGGACAGAACCAACAAGTAATAAAATCTTGTTATAGGGATTACTGAGAAAAACAAAGACTGTCGTGTTAATGCTACTGACAGACTGCATTATATATGTCATTTTTTATATTGCCTTTAGTACCACCTTCATTGTATTACTACCACTGCAAAACATTAATGAAATGTCTCTATTATACACTATATTTTATACTCTGCATACAATGCATAGCTTTGGTTTAATTCCACCATGTTACTGTGGCTTGCCTTTTCTGGAATTCACAGCTAAACCCTGATAACCTCTAGGCCACGCTCCAGTGGAAATGTCTCAGTGTCCAGTAAGAGCATTCTCAATGGACACTGGAAAGGCAGTTTGCAGGGTGTAGCCATGAATTCAGATATAGCCAGACTCCAGTAATAGTGAAACTAAATCAGAGATTAATACAACCATTGTAGCTTTCTCAATTCTCTGACATTACAGATCATTGAGGTATTCTGAATGCAGAGTGGAATAACAGTTGGCAGGGCTTAGCCAGGAAGTCAAGCCATCCTAAAGGTGCCCATACACCTTGCAATTATCTGCAGACTTTCTGTGGTCAGATGGAAAAAGTGCAACAGAACAGTGGCGTAACAACCGGGGGGGCAGCAGGGGCGCGGGCCCCGGGCGAAAAGTGAAGGGGGGGCGCCGGCCGAAAATGGCACTTTCGGCTAAATGCCGAAAGTGACATTTACCTGCCATTTTGTCGGCACAGCCGTGATTCCTTTCATCCCCGCTGGGACACAGAGCAGTGCCCAGCAGGGATGCAAGGAATCAGAGAGAAAATGACAGCCGGCCGAGCGCTGCGGGACGAGCGCTGTGAGCGGCCGATGTCTTTCCTCCCACACCGCTCGGCCGCCTATCACAGTGCAGCAGAGCGGTGTGGGGGCGGAGACAGCCAGCGCTGTCACAGGAGGCTGGGCTCTCCTCTTGCAGCCTCCTATGACAGTGTGTGTCAGAGAGGAGAACGGGTACAAGCACTCAGTGATCAGTGATCGCTGAGTGTTTGTACATAATTGAGGACCTGGTATGTATACTATATCCTCAATTATGAATGAATGGGAGTGATCTACATCTCCTCCTGTTCATTCATAATTGTAGTTATAGTAAACATACCATGTTATCAATGAACAGGAACACTCATAAAGGATTCCTGTTCATTGATAACAGGGGACACAGAAAAAGAGATTGAGGACTCTGTGTCCTCAATCTCTTTTTCTATTTTTAAAGGGAAATATCAGGGGTCTGTTTAGACCCCCAATATTTCCCCGAAGCCCCTAAAAGTAAAGTAAAAAATAAAAATATTTAATAAAAAATTAATTAATAAATAAAAATTGATTTAAAAAAATGAAAAAGTTTCAAAAAAAATAAAATATTAAAATTTGTAAAATTAAAATAAAAACATGTGTGTGTGGGGGGGAGGTGCAGGGTACAGTTCCAGTGGTTGTTTATATAATGGGGGGGGGGGCGAAAAAAAAATTCTGCCCCGGGCGCCCAGAACTCTGGTTACGCCACTGCAACAGAATGACCCAGGTGGAGATTACTCTCATTACTCATTAAGTGTAGATGGAGGAATCTGTTGCACCTTTTCCATCTGACCACAGAAAATCTGCAGATAATTGTAAGGTGTATGGCCAGCTTAACACAGTTAACTAAACTAAAACTGAAAACCAGTATGTATATTATAAAATACTGTGAGGGGAATTTATCAAAACTGGAGCAGTCAGAATCTGGAGCAGTTGCCTATGGCAACCAATCAGCATCTCTCTTCAGTTGGTTCAGGTAATTTGTAAATGAGACAGAGAAACTGATTGGTTGCAGTTCAAATCTGCTCCAGATTTTGTCTGCTCCAGTTTTGATACATTTCCCTCTATGCATGATAGAGACATTCCATTAGGGCCCATTTATATGCTTGAGGTGTGTTAACACACATTGGGAGGAATTTATCAAAACTGCAGCAGATAAAAACTGGAGCAGCTGTGCATAGCACCAATCAGCTTTTCTCTTCAGTTTATTCAGTTAGTATTTGAAAATTAAAAGTGGATACTGATTGGTTGCCATGCACAGCTGCTCCAGATTTTGTCTGCTCCAATCTTTGATAAATTCCCTTCATTATGTTGCACCAATGCAACGAAATGTGCTGCAAAAACTGGTGCATTGTGGTGCTCCGCAACACATGTGCACTGTCATAGCACGTTGGTGGGCAATTTAAAATGAATGGCGATGCAATCTAAACAAATGTGATGGAACACAAAGCTGTATATGGGTCCTACATATTTTACAGTGATACAAATCAAATTAATGACAGTGCAAAGAGCAACAGTGTACAACAGACAATAAGGTATCAACTTTCAGCATCTTAGAGCAAACAAACTATAGAAAGCGCTGTGAACCTTGGGTAAAGTCACTCTGTTTCTGATTTCTTTTCCCCCAGCTGCTTCCTTTCTCCTATTAAAACTGAACCCCAGCTTTACCTTCAGCCTTGCACAGTCATACAGACTCCTCTCCTGTACTGAAATAGCTTACTCTGATTTCACTGCACATTGGGGGCTAATCACATGGTGTTACCTAGGCCAGTCTGTATACAAGTGCAACCTTCCTACGAATGCCCACTACTCCAAACTGACATCCACCCATTAGGGTAGGGGTAGTAGATTAAAATTCAAGGAGGTCCGGTGAGTAAAATATTGAGCATAGGTCCGAATCGTGGTTTTGGACATAATGGTCACTCAGTCTATTTCCGTACTAAGGTCCACCATTTAGGCTGCATTCACAACAGTAGCTGCACTACAGTCCATTGGGTGCTGATGTTGCTCTCTGCACTGTTTTTAATTTTATTTTTGTAGGACTCCTCCCTTCCCCATTTACGTGCCTACGCAAACTTGTTTATTTGAATCAGATGACGGGGGCGACAGGGTTTGTTTTAAAATTTTTTTATTATTTTATTATTTTTTACTTTAAAAAGAACATTTGCAATTAAGTTTTATTATCACAGAGGGCTAAGAAGCCCCTATGTGACAGCATTCGGAGGTGACAGGTTCTCTTTATAGAGACATCAGGGGTCTATTAGACTCCTCCTGTCTTCCCTGCCCTCCAATACTTCAGGATTGTGCTTCATCTTCTGATCACCCAGAACCTCAGCCAGCTTCTGACAGTTCTGAAGCAGGGAGCACTGAAAGCACAGCCGTCCCTGCTTCATTCAGTACAGAGCAGATCAGACGTTCCAATGTCTGTTGCCACTCCCCATCCTGACACCCTCTGTTGTGGTCCCGGGCTGGCCAGAGGAGTGGGGGACCCTGAAAACCACTGGGGGGGGGGTGCAAGATCGCAGGCTAATATAAGTGATCTGGGTGGCTGAACAGCCACCCAGATCACTAGTAATTGATTAGTATGACTAGTAGTTCACAGGCTGGCCCTACCTGCCTGATGTCATTGGTTGCCAGGGCACCAGTGGTCCTAGCAACCAATGACTGAAGCGGAGGGGGGCCTGCTCTGGTTCATGGCTGGCAGTGGATGCACCAGCTTCAAGGACCGGTGTATCCATTGTCAGCCTGCCATAACCCAGTGCAAGTCCACACAGAATCATCATTCGGTCCACATCCAGACCGTCATTTAGTGACCCCTGTATGGAGGCATTTTTCATAATGCCTCCCAAGAGCCAGCCCACTGCTCTTTAGAGGAGTACTGAGAGTACAGTGATGTTTTCAGGAAGTTATGTACAGCACCCTGCTTGCTCCTCCCACCAGTCTTGATTTTCCTGCATTGCATAGAAAAACACATAGACCTAATGATGATGTCACTGGGTCTAAAATAAGATATGTGAATAAAACAGAAAGGTTTTTTATAATTTTCATTAGCATGTTGATGAGGAGGGAAAAGAGGATCCAGGGAAGGCAAAACATGAGCAGATTAAAGTTCAGCTTTAAATGCCAAACAGCTATTTCTGTTGAAGGCAGAACCGAAGATGGCACCCTGTGTCACTGCCTTGGGAAGCAGGGCGCCCATCGAATAACATGTCCAACTGATTGGCAGTGAGGGAGAGGTATATTAGGTGTGACAATGCTGAGAACCCTTCTTCTCACTGCATATAGTGACACAGCCCTGTGCTGTTGCTCTAGGCAACAATGCTGCAGTGAATTTACCACAGGCCCTGTGGGTTTTTTTTTTTAAACTCCTCCAGGAGATAGCTGGGTGGCCTGGCAGGATCAGCAGATAGGGTATCTATGACAAAACGCGCTTTATTTGAATTAAAGAGGCACTTTTATCAGCTTTAATGGATGTTTAAAGTGAGGGATTTTATTTGTATATAGTTCAATATAGTTTAATTGCATACCACCATTCACATTGTGTTATTAAGTAAACCCAGATTGTGCTAAGAACAAGTTAATGTTTTTAGATTTATTTGTATGTAGCAATGTAGTATGACATTCCACTGAAGTAATGATTAATCCTCTGCCCGAAATCTCATTCTTTGAATATATCACTACGTACGTAATGCCTCTACAACATATTTCCTAACGTTAGCAAACCAAAATGATTGCATAAGGGTCAAATGCCAGCTTGGTCAGAATATTTCCTAATTATTAAATTCTCAGACATGTAAAGAGCAAACCGGAACCACTAACTTGCATTTGTGTCAGAGTTTGAAAAATATTTTGGTTTTGCTCAGTGCACCAAAATGATATGGGAGCCCATCAGAAGTTGACATGGAGGGACATGTGGCCAGGATAATGTAGTAATACATTAAGCCCAACTTATGTCAAACTTTATTTTCATTTTTGAAAGTTGGCAAGAGATAGAACTCCTGTCAGGTTTTGAATTCTGCCACACAGAGGATATTTCTCTTTTCATCCTAATCTTTAACACCTTTTACCCAAGGCGTGTTCAGTTGCTCAGCTGCTGCAAGTGCTAACTTAGCAAACTGCCACTGAATGTTGTGCTCAAAGGCTGCGTTCACACCTGACCGTTTTGTAGCGCGTCCTACGCTCGACGAACGCGCTACAAAACGGTAAAAAAAATAAATAGCATTGTATTTCCGCCCGTCCCTAACGCCCTACAAAACGGCCCACGCCTGAAAAGGTCCCGGGACTACTTTGGGCCGTTTTGTAGGGCGTTTTCCATTGGGATACAGCCAAGTAGCCTTTGGAATCGTGCGACGGTCGCACGACTTTTTTACCGCAGTGTCAATTAATACTAAAGAGGAAGTGGAATGCTAAGAATATAAATCAAGTTTCTGGGGATTGTTTTTAAGATGAAATAGCTTACAGGACCAGAAAGCAAATAAGAGAAGTCAAAGTAAAGTATAACATATGCTGTTTTCTGTTAAATATTTCAATCTTGTTGTAACTCTCACTTTTTACAAGGTGACCAATAAACATGTATTTACAAAATGTAACAAACAATAAGCACTTTATTAAAACAGCAGTTAACCCACAAATTATCCAAATGATCCCTTACTGTAATTATATTTTAAGTTGCAAATGACTATAACTATTTTATGTCCTTATATATGCACAAACAAAGAAGCAAAGGAGCACTTGTTGCATGTTCCTGCTGCACACTACCTGGCACCTGGTGTACGGGGACTATACTGAGCCATATCATTAAACATAGTTACTCAGCTACATGCTTGCTTTACATTTGCACTTTAGAACATTCAAATTAAATTATACTACAGCAATGTTCCAAACTGACACCTTCCCAGATAGCAAGCAATTGAGCTGCAAATCTGAAAATGACTTGCCAAACTATTGCAGACATGCCAAGCTTCACAATTTTGTTGCACAATTAGAGCAAGTCTGCATTGCAAGTCTCCAGATCAACGTGCTTTGCAAAAGTGCTGTACACTTGCAGAGCTCTTGCTGAGACCTGCAGGACTATTGCTGTAGACTTGCCAAGCAAATTTGCTACAAATTCAAAAAGTGTCAACTAGAACTTGTGCTGCAAGTGTTCTGCAAGTCTACAACTTGCCACGAATGTGTGCAGCAAGTTAACAAGAATTACAATTTATCCCTGCCACAAGTTTGTGGCAAGTTATCCTTGCTATATGGGTTAGTACTTGTTGAATGCAGCTGCTCCCCCAAGCAGTCCCATCCCCACCTGGGAAAATGTTTAAAGGGTATCTATGTTAAAAAACCAAAAATAAATATGTATTTCTATATTGAATCTCCACAGTGTCACGGATCAGGGATTACGAGTATTAACTGGAACCAGGTATGTGGACCCTTTCTACTACACTGGCAGGGACACTTAGAGAAAAGGGTCCAAGCAGGGTAGGCTCATGACTCACAAAGCTGGAATACGAGCAGGGAACAGAGCAGGGGAACTGAATGAGGCAGTGGAAGAGAGAATAGGCCGGTAGGACAAGGTAAGTGCTGCAATGCTAGGTAGGTGGCATGGAATTTGTGGATGTAGAATTTAAAGGCCAGCCGGTGTTCACCAGAGCTCCTGATGGTGGAGATTGGCTTGGCTGCGTGCTGACCCAAGGTCACAATCCCTAGGTCCACCCAACTCACCTAACAGCCAACAATGGTCAACAAGGCCAGAGTTCTGGACAGGTTGCAGACACACATACGAGGGACAAAAGAAAGGTCAGGGACAGACGAATGACTAGGACTTCCAGGGACAATCCAAAGGATAGGGACAGACTGAAGGCTGGGATTTCAAGGGAATGTCCAAAGGATAGGGACAGACAGAAGGCTGGGATCACCAGGGACAAGTCAAAGTTCAGAGCAGACTGAGGACAAGGATCTCCAGGGACAAGCCAAAGATCGGTACCCGGGCAAACTTCAAGGAATTCAGGTTCAATCACAAACAGGAGGCTCGGCATCTAGCTTAGGAAAGCGTTGCTCTGGCAGCGTGCCGGTCGCTGCCCTGGGTTTCAATAGAGACAGGAAGAGGGAGCTAAACTCTGACACATAGGAACTATGTTTGTAATCTTACTTATTGAAGATGCCTATAGGATGTACTTCCTCAATGCACTTCCTTCTAAATTCACTTAAACTAAGTCTGCCCTCTAAACTGCAACTCAACGTCTGAATTCCATTACTGCTTCCTGGAGGCAATGCATGAAGGGGTATTTGCAGAGGACAGCTGCTATCCTCTGCAAAGGCTTCCCCCACCTCAGCGTCGGGCCCCTATTCAGTCTTGGGCACCAGCTGCTTGCTGCTACTGTGCTGATTCTACAACAGTAGCAGCAAGCAGATCCCGAGAATAGACTCTGGATCCGCCCCTGGCTTGGGGTTAGTTAGGTATGCTTTAGGGCAGGGCTCAAAATTTCCACTCGCTTGCTTGCATTTGGCGAGTGGAAATAAAGTGAGGGCGAGCCAGACACGAGATCCATCCGCTCTCTCCCTTCTCTCTTCTCTCCTGTACTTTCAGTTTCCTCTTGCTTCTTCCTCCTACGATCTACTCCGGCTGCTGTGTCTTTGTTTAGACAGGTGACAAGAGACGTGTCTATTAGAAGACAGCGTCTCCTGTCACCATGGATACCCGCTCTCTACTGCGCATGTGCAGGCAGACGGGACCATGAGCTCGAACTTAGTGGCCCGGCATCTAGCTATAGGCGATCTAATATCACTAACTGAGAATGGATGATACGGTTTGCAGTAATACAGGTAGTAATCCGATAATAAACCACTGATATGCCAGGGAGTTCCCCTTTAAGTACAGTTCAGGTATTCAATACAGTCTGGTTTCAGGCTTCCCCAAAGGGATACTTGCGTTTTGGAGCTTCTGGTCTGTAACCAAGCAGCAGGTGCTTGTGATGGTCCAGGGGGAGTCCTTCCTAGGCAGGGCGGATAGAGGCAGAGGTGCAAGTGGTAGGGTTCAGCGTCAATGAGGCAGCAGGCGTTCTGACTCCAATAGTTGAACGCCATACTGCCTCAGCTGGGGCTTTAAATAGCCCAGGAATGAGGGAGGAGTCAATTGCCACCGTGGAACGCAGGCCGCTCGCACCGCAATCCGGAAGTCGAGCGGCTTCCGTGTTCCACCATGGAACGCAAATCGGCCGTCCCTGCATGTGGGGAGACCCGAGCGGTCTGAACCCTCGGGACTCGTTACAGTGATGTAAAAAGAAGCTCCACTGCTTTGGAGCTGCTGGGCTTTTTTGGTCTGATGGAATTTATGCATTACAAAAAATAAATATCAAAGTTCCTAACTGTACTAAAGTGCTCACTGCATACAATACACACTCCTTATAAAAGTCCAAGCATTGACAGCAGCAAATTCTCAAATTCTTGGCTTGAGGTGCAGAGTGCTGACTCATAGTTCATTCCATGTAATTTCATGGCTATTTTATGTCTG